TTATTAACTGGATTTCTTCCATAAAGAAAAACTATCCCTTCTTCCCCATTTATTTATTCATACCAGTATGAACTCATAGATATTTAGTTTACTCTCTGGGTTATAATAAAATACTATAATCATTTATTGTGTTACCCAAATATTTGACCATTGGGAGTTCTTTCAGATTGATTCCTGTGCCCTTTCGATAAGTCCTTGTAAAAACAGCATGAGGTTGGTGTCTGACGTCCTCTAACTTCACAAGGGGTAAGGAGAATCAAGATCAACAGTACAAGGCTGATTCCTATGAGGCAGACGTCAGATATGCTTCCTCTCTCCGCCATCTTTATCAATTCGGACACCAACCATCCCTTCCCCGGCACTCTCTACTTCTGTATTAGGTTCGATAACTCATTGCAATGGCCACACAGAACTCACAGACAATACTCATGATTATGGGGTTTATTGGGGAAGTAACAGGTTACAATTCAGGTTCAAGAACACTCAGGACACAGTTCTTCCATCAGGATAGCCTCTTTTCAGCTGTGCCTGTAGGCACACCTCTCTCTGGCCCTAGGCCTCTGCCCTGCTCAGGCAAGTGTTACAAAGGTCTTGTAGTCTCTGCCAAGAAGTACCCAGATGCACTCCACTCTGCCAGTAAGCCTTGGCCCAAAGGTACTCAGCTTTCTTGCTCCGTGGGCTGGGAAGCCAACTGCACAGTCTCCTGCCGGTCTCTCCTGCCATTTCTCTGCTACCGCTTCTTATCGTCTTCAGGGTTACAGCTCACTCTCTGTCTCCAGCTTCCAGGAGCTTCTCAGTGCAGGGATCCTGGGCCCAAAGGATGCGCTCTCTGCTCCTGGCTATTCTTCCTTGGTGATGGTGCGATCTTTTCTTTCTCACTTCTGAGATGGCTCATTTCAAGCCCAGTGGGATGGCAAAATTGACATATCCTCTCAGTAGGCCACAATTACTCAATCTATACAGTCCCACCCAATCATTGTGTGTGAATCACAAAGACCATGGCTAGAAGGGCCATATTAAGTAATTCATTGCACTGCAGTTCCCCATCTTTTTACTGAGCAGTTCCTTACTTCCTGGCACCACAGGATGCTCCAGGCTCATCTTGTATTTTCCCTGTCCCAAGCCTGAAATCAATCACTTCTACAAGGAGCCCTAGTTCCTTCTATTAGAGTGATAGTTAGAAATCAAGATGTGAGCACGGGGTGTGCTCATTGTTATTGAGGTACTGTTGCTTCTAGGCTCTCGAGTGAACACAGCTTGAAAATACACATACATGTACACATACATCTATATTTCTATATCTATCTTAATTACTTTTCATATCAAATCACTGAGTTAAAGAGCAGCTTCAGGAAGACAAGCCATATTTATCTTGCGGTTGTCTTCACATAACCTCACATGTCCCCTTCCCCAGCTGCACCCTAGTTTGTGAGGCAAGGATTAGAGTGTGAGAAGGCACAGATATCATTACTTCTATTGCTGCAACCCTTGGCTGCAATGGAGAGGTCAAAGAACCCTGACGTCAAAGAACCCTGGACCATTGCAGACCTGTGGTATCAAAGGAAAAGCAACCAGTCAACAAACAATGTCTGTTCGCATAATCTATGTTAGATTTACACTTTTGGCAAATATGGAGTACAGGGACTGGATTTTACTCTCCTGCCTGAAACAACTAAAAATACTGGGCAAGATATATGAAACTGCAGTGTTCAATAAACCGGGCATTATGCATTGAAGGACAGTGATCCCTGAGAGAGGGAAAACAAATAGGGTGAGCTCTACGATTGCCCCAGATTACTGTTGTGAGTTTCTAGATCACCGTGTAAAGAAGGAAACCCAGGAAAAGTCTGGCAGATTACCCTAGCTGAGGAGATGAAGCTGAGAATATAGGGAGACCAAGGTACCTATAGTTTGTAGAACAGAGTAATGGAGAAAAGAGAGCTGCACAGACAGACATCCCAGAGATATGCAGAGGATTCCTCTCAAGTATTCAGCAGAATAGTGATCAGTACATGCATGTAAGGAAACTACTTGAGGCTAGGGAACGAATCACCCAAAAGAATTAGAGGAGAAAATACCTGGTGCTCACAGAGGACTAAAAATAGTGCCTATTCAAATCAGTCAGACTAGAAAACCTCATACTTCATGGGATATTAGGCAGAGTATTCAGAAAGGTCTTGCCTAAATAGTGGGGAATAATCAGACCAAGACTAAACATGATTGTAGACCTGCCTAACATATCTTAAAAGCAATAAAGGATCAGACTGTTTTCAAGTAACTTATTTGGGTTCCAGAACAAAGCTTGAGAATAGCAATACAAAAATACCTAGGCCCCAAGAAGGTAACAGTCACAATATTTGGCAGCCAATCAAAAATTACAAGGCATGCAAAAAAAAAAACAGGAAAATACAGCCCATAATGAGGAGAGAAATCAATCAATTAAAACTAACCTGGAACTGACACAGATGTGAGAATAAGCATACAAGGATATTAAAATATTTATCATAACTGTATTCCATATGTTCAAAAAGTAGGCACATAGAGGATATAAAAAAAGACCTAAATCAAACTTCTAGAGATGAAACTATGTCTGAGATGAAAAATACACTAGGTGGGATTAATGACAAATTAGACACTGCAAATGAAAAGATCAGTGAACTTGAAGGAATAGCAACAGAAATTACCCAAAACTAAACACAGAGAGAAAAAAAGGAGGTGGGGGGGTACACAACAGAAAAAACACAGGAAAAAAATAACTGCTGAAAGTTTTTGATGAAAACTATAAATTCACAGATTCATGAAGCTAAATAAATTCCACGTACAAAAAACACAAAGAAAGCTACACCAAGGAACATCATAATCAAATTGCTTAAAATTAGTAATAAAAAGAAAATTCTTAAAGCAGCCAGTGGGAAAAGGCATATGTACAGAGGAACAAAGGTAAAGGTGACAATAAATTTCGTGTCAGAAACAATGCAAGTGAGAAGGCAGTAGAACAACATCTTTAAAGAAAAACTCACCAACATAAAATTCTATACCTAGTGTAAATATCTTTCAAAAAGGAAGGTAAAACAAAATTTTTTCAGTCATGTAAAAGCTGAAAGAATTCATCACCAACAGACCTGCACTACAAGAAATGTAAAAGGAAGTTCTTCAGGCAAAAAGAAAATGATACTGATGGAAAGCTGAATCTATACAAAGGAATGAAGAGCACCAGAACTGGTAACTATGAGTAAATAAATGAGATGTTTTCTTTTTACTTAAATCACTTTAAAAGATAATTATCTATTAAAAAAAAAAAGGACATATTGGTCGTTAGGGAAAAGGCTGGTTAGTAAGAGATGGAAGCAAAGGAGCAATCAGAGAAGACAACTCTGGTAGTGTGTTTCTAGTACTGTCCTGGAATAAGTTATGACATTTATTCATTCCACAAATAATAATTTTTTATCTTTATTGTAGTAACTGATCTTTATTTTTTATAACTGATGTACAAAAGCTGCACGTATTTAAACTGTATTTTAGTGTATGTCTACACCTGTTGAAATCATCACCACAATCAAGATAATGAACATTTTCATCACCCCTCAAAGTTTTCTCATACCCCGTCCATCCCTGTCCTGAGGTAACCACTGATATGCTTTCTGTCATTATAAATTTTTAGGATTTTATATTAGTGGTATCATACAGTATGTACATTTTTTGTCTGGCTTCTTTCACTAAGCATGCCTTTGAGATTCATCCATGTTGTTGCATGTACCAATAGTTCATTCCTTTTCCTTGCTGAGTGGTATCCCATCGTATGGATATACCACAATTTGTTTATCCATTTACCTGTTGAAGGACATTTGGGTTGTTTCCAGTTCAGACAATTATGAATAAAACTTCAGTGAACAACAGCAAAAAACGAACACCTGTCTATGTTAAAGTGAAGAAAAAAATACACATTCCTGTACAGTGTTGCACTGTGATTGAGTACTTTGTGTGTGGCCTTTCTAGCCATGGTCTTGTAATTCCCACCTAGGTGATTGGGCGGGACTGTGTGATAGGGTAATTGTGGCCCACCAAAGGGATTGGTCAGTTTTGCCATTCCGCTGGGCTTGAAATGAGCCACACCAGAGGCAGGAAAGAGAAGAGCCCACCACCAGCAAGGAAGGAGAGACCAGCACGAGACAGGGCAGTGGGCTTTCCGGCCCATGGAGCAAGAAAGCTGAGTGCCTTTGGACAGAGACTGAGGGCCAGGGAGAAATCTATGCCTGAAACATGAATTTGGGATTTGCCAGCCTCCACAACCACACAAGAGAGCCATTTAAATGGTTCCTGAGTTCTGTGAGATGTTGCAGCTAATTAGGGAACCCAAAGATGGGAGGGAGAGTGCTGAGGGGAGAGGGATTAGTTGATGTTAGAATGGTACAGCAGCTTGGAAAAGTTGGACATTTAGGACATCTTTAACCTCTGCCTCATAGGAACCAGCTTTGTGCTGATTCTTACAAAAGAAATTATCCATTTAAGCATCTAACACATAATTTTACACAGAGATGTTAAATATATTATTATTTAATATAAACCTACTTTACATGGTATTTGTAAGAAAAAGTAACCTTTTTGTACAGTAAACTCTGAATCGATGCTTACAAATATATGACTAAATTTTATTTCTAAGTAGCTAACTGGTTCATAATACTCCCTAATCATTTTACTCCTGTTTAAGATGTTAAACTATTAAAATAAGACAATTTAGCCCTACATTGCCAAATGCATACCATGAGATACCACAGAATTTGGAAGGAATGAAAGCATAGAACCTTGACCCTTTTGGCTCTGTAATCCCCTGGGGAGAAGGGAACAAAGGATGACTGATATTAGTAAAGAAACAGGTTGAAGACAGCTTCTGCCAGAAGTCGTTTAGATTGGTTTACTATGAAGGGTAGCATTAACAGTTTTAATGTAGTGTTAAACACAAAAATATCATGTTTAAAATCCATTCCAAAATGAGTACTTACTGCAGTTTTATATGCAGCTTCAATGTAAAACACAAGGTTCTGTATGAAGTTGACTTCATCTAGGCTGTGGATGATATGGAGTCCTGAAGAAAAAGGGAATAAGGATATAGAGCTGGTCAATTATCACTATAAGCTTTATATGCAACCGTAGTAACTAACTGAATTTACTACTCCAAGTACTCCTACTCCTGCTTAGGAACAGTGGAAGGCACTTTGATCCCTAAACCATAAAAATACGATCACAATTTAGTCCTAAGGTAGTGTCCAACTAAGTGAGATATAAGGATATTTTAAAAGTGAGGAATTTTAACTGTTATTTCAAGGTTTTAGTACAAAGTCTCAGAATCTTGATTCTATAGGTAACTAATTTATAATGCACTTAAATGTACAAATCTAGGTACCTGGAAAAAGAGTGATATTTCAAAACAGAGTTGGAGTGAGTCTAAATATTAAACAAGAAATAGATTAAAAAGTATGATTTTAAGTAGAAAACCATGTTTTTTGGATTAAAAATTATAGCTATTCTAAATGTAACCTATACAAAAATACTTATAGCTTACAAAGGAAGTGATTTGAATTCACTATCTGTTTAATTTTTGCAACAACCCAAAGGAGTGGGAACCTCTATTTTCTCCATGAGGCTTAGAGAGGTTAAATATTTGTCTCTCTAAATATTATAACTAATAAATAGTGGAGTCATGACTCAATTGACTGTCGACTTTGGTTTCACTTTCAGAGACTGAGGGCCTAAGCAAGAAGCTGTACTGCCATCTTAATATGTACAATATGATCTGTTTTTGTTTAAAAACTCTAACTACACACACAGGCAGAAAAAACATTTTAATAGTAGTTATCTCTGGTGGTGAGATTGAAAGTAGCTTTATTGTGTTTTGCACATCTTTGTAATTTTACAGTATTCTACAATGGACACGTACTATTTTTAAAATTTAAAAAGTTATATAAAAAAGCAAACTCATTAAACAAAGCAGAACATGAAAATAATTTATAAAATTATTATAAAAATACTAAATCCTGAGCACTGAAACTTTTACAGGTGTTAGCTTTATTAGGAGTCCCTGAGTGGTGCAAACTTAACATGCTCAGCTGCTAACTGAAAGGTTGGAGGTTCAAGTCCACCCAGAGGCATCTTGGAAGAAAGGTCTGGTGATCTACTTCTGAAAATCAGCCCTTGAAAACCCTATGGAGCACAGTTTCTACTCTGACACGTATGGGATCCACCATGAGTTGGAGTTCACTCAACGGCAACTTGTTTACTGGAGGCTTTATTAAGCAATTAACTTTTTAAACACCTCTTTTGAAACAATAAATATTACTGTGTACATATTATCTAAAGCCTTTGTTTAGAACACTTGATTCTAAACTAGAAATCATTTCAATATTGAAAAACCAGAAGGTTATTTTTCTAAGCTATAAACAAGCAGGAGAAAGCCTACAAACAAGCAGGAGAAAGAAGTGAAGACTGGGCAGCTGCAGAAACTAAAATTTTAAGCTTCTCACATTTTCCTGGCTGAAACTATTTTATTAAAACAAAATGTTTATAACCACAGTTTTCATAAAAATAAGGATGTTGGTTTAATGGAAATGATTACAGGTGCCAGCTATATAATATTATACCCAGACAAAGTAAAGAATTTCCAGTTTGCTAAGAAATGGGCATAAACTATAGTAATTAGATCTAGATATTAAAGCTTCTTTAAGAAGACTTGGGAGTGGAAAAAGTTCTCTGACATTCTTAGAAACATGATGTAAAGTGGTTGTCAAATGTTTAATGCCAGCTTTCAAATGAACTCCACCTTAAACCTCTTGCATGACCCTCATTCCAGTTCAGAAACAATTCTTAGAATAAGCCCTTTATAAGTCACTCTTTCACCAAAAAAATTCAAACGGTACCAAAAAGCATACAGTGAAAGTCTTCCTCCCACCTCGAATCACATCATCCTCCACCCTGCTAGTTCTCCTCTCCAGAAGAAACCACTGTTATCAGTTTCCTGTATCCTTTCAGAGATATATTATGCATATACAAATATACATATAGTACCCCTCTTTCTTTATAAAAATGGTAGTGTATTATACTACACCTTGCTTTTTTCATATACAACTTAGAGATAATTTCAAATATATCTGCCTCATTTTTTTTTAAACAGTTAAACATAACATTCCACTGAAGGGCTGTGCCTGTAACCAGTTCCCTGTTAAAAGACACTTAGGTTGTATCTAATCCTTTGTGACTACAACCAATGCTGCAGTGAATTTCTGTGTATAGACATCTTTGTACGTACGTGCTAGTGTATCATCAGAGTAAATTCTTAGAAGTACAATTGTCACATCAAAAGACTTAGGCATGATACTTTTTTCCAACATTTTATCATGAAAAATGTCAATAAAACAGAGCAGATAAAAAAATTTTTACAGCAAACACCTGTGTCTTAGTTTCCTAGTTCTGCTGTAATACAAACACCACAAGCGGGTGGCTTTAAAGAAGAGAAATTTATTTTCTCACAGTTCAGGAGGCTGTAAATTCAAATTCAGGGTGTGACTCTAGGGGGAGGTCCTTCTTAGTCTATTTCAGCTTCTAGTAGTGGCAATCTTCGGAGTTCCTGGACTCAGGTAGGTTCATTTACCTAAGTAGTCAAACAGCTACTGTCTTCCCCCTGTGTCTGTGTGCCTGTGTCTAATCTGCTCTTTTTAGAACTCAGAAGTAATTAGATTTAGAACCTATCCTACTCAGGTATAATGTAATTGACATAACAAAGAAAGCCCTATTTTCAAACAAGATTACATCCACCAGGTATAAGGGTTAGGATTCCAACACATATTTTAGGGGGACACAATTTAATCCATAACCATCTGGATTCTATCATTAACATTTATTATATTTTCTCACATATCTATCCATCCCTTTACACATTCATTCATCAATCCACCTTATTTTTTGATACTTCTCAAAGCTGCAGATTATCAGTACATTTTCCCCTAAACACTTCAGCATGTGTATATTAAATTTTGATGATAATTATCACTAAGTCACTCTGCAAACAGGTACCAACCAACACTGACCACCTGTTTCCCTACATTATTGCCAGCACAGGCTATAATAAAAGTTTTCGATCTTTGATCACGCTAATGGATGAGAAATAGAATCTCCTTGTAGTTTAATCTGAAGTTCAATTCAATTTCTACTTAATTGCTAGTCTTTCTGTTATTGATATTTTAATGAAATTAAGAAAATTATTCTTTTGTCCCTCATGTGTTGCAAGTAGTTTAACTAGTTTGTTTAAAGTTTTATCTTGTTTATAGTATATTTTTCTTCTCAAACTTTTATATAAAAGTTTTATCCCATAAATGTTTCTAGTACTTTTACAGTTCCATTTTTCATATTTAAATCTTTGACCTATGGACAGATATTTTAAATCAAAGAACTGTGGAACTTCAGACCTAAAAAGAACTATATGATCAGTATCAACCAATTGCAAACTCCTCCTGATCCATGGCTGTGCTAAAATAGCAACCATAGCACAGGGCAGAAGGAGCAGGACAAAGGTTTTTCTTGTAGCAGTAATAACCTTAACCTCTTAGACAGAGAGGAAAAAAGAGAAGAGAAAGTGATATAGGACATCAGGCTTTACAATCTTGTCACCTTTGTGTGCCAAAGTAAGCAGAGACTGAGAGAAGGCAGAAAATGTGAAATTGGTTTTGTCCATCTCTAAGACTTGTATCACACCTAATCACTACATCACATAAATGCCACACATGTTCTACCACCTGTCCCTTTGCTCATGCTATTCCTGCTGTTGAAATGGCCTTCCCCTCCTCTCCACATCTTGAAATCCTACCATTCTTTCAAGGCCCAGCTGAAATGTCATCTCCTCTGTGATGCTGTTATTAATCACCTCTTCTGCACTTTCATAGAATTTTTCTTTCTTGCTGTTATGTACCTGAATGTGCAGGGAAGGACCATATCTTATTTGCATTTGTAGTCCCTAAAAGTATCTCACATAGTACTCTGGACGGTATTAAACAGTACGGAACAGCAGATGTTCTATAACAATCTACTGAATGAATTTAAACAGCTCCCTTAACTACCGCAGAGGGACATGGCTATCAACGCAAGATCAAAGCTGCAGGACCTCTGGATTCTTTCCCTTCTGTACAGCCAAGGCACTGCTTGTAGAACAGAGGATGCAGAAGTAAACACATGTGAAATGAGGTAGGGCTGGGTTATACCAAAGTGTTGTACAAAGCATTCTAAAATATGCAGGGCTCCAGAAAAGGGGCTTGCTCAGAGGCTTACTCTACCGAGGATTGACTTGAACTTACCTGTTTGACATTAAACCTTTTTCTCCCTTATTTTTTAAAAACTTTATTTCACGTACCATACCATACAATTCAATGTGTGCAACCACCACCACAATTTCTGAACATTTATATCACTCTAAAAAGAAACCCCATGCCCATTAGCAGTTAGTTCCTAATCTCTTCCTCCTCCTCACCCTAGGCAACCATGAATCAACTTTCTGTCTCTATAGGTTTGCCTTTCATATAAATGGAGCCACACGATATGTGGCCTTTTGTGTCTGACTTCTTTCACTTAGCATTGTTTTCAGGGTTCATCCATGTTGTAGCATGTATCAGGACTTCATTCCTTTTCATTGCCGGAAAATATTTCATTGTATGGATATATCATATTTTTAAGATTTAATCATCAGTTCCTATCTTAGCAATATTAAGTCTTTTGACCATGAACATGGGATGTCTTTCCATTTCTTTAGATCTTCTTTATTTCAATAATGTTTTTTAGTTTTCTGTGTACAAGTCTTGTACCTCTTTTGTTAAATTTATTCCTATTTTATTCTTTTTGATGCTATGGTAATAGGAATTATCTTCTTAATTTCACTTTTGGATTGTTCACTGCTAGTGTACACCCTGGTGGTGTAGTGGGTAAGAGTGCCACTGCTAACCAAAAAGTCAGCAGTTCAAATCCACCAGCCACTCCCTGGAAATCCTATGGGGCAGTTCTACTCTGTCCTATAAGGTCACTATGAGTTGGAACCGACTCAACAGC